GAGCTGCTATCACAGCAGATCTCACTGACCCACATCTTCTCTGACTCTCATCTCCTCTTTGGTCTTGTTTGCACACCACAGCCTGACTGCAACACAACTTGATAGGAGCAAACAACTCCATCTCTGACACTTGAATGAAACTGGCCTGGGTATGTAGGTTCTACAGTCTCTTTATCTGTGTACACCTTTGCATTGAGGATAAGGGGCTCTCTTCTCCATGGGGTGGCTGCATGAAATTACCCAAACAGTCATTCTAATTTTTAAAAAGTAGCAACAATAGAGATAATGGAATTTAAAAGAAAACAAATAGAGATGTTGTGATTGGCCCAGTCTTGACTGATGAGGACTGACAGTCTATGCAAATAGTTTGCTTGATACCTCTAGATTGACACTTTTCTTAAGCTAAACTACATAAGACCTTCTCAACTTACTTCCTGAGAAGAAGAAAGGAAAGGTGAGCGAAAGGTTCAAAAGTTTACATCTTTTGAAAGCCATCCCTTTTGACAGGACTGGCAGTCTCACTAGCTGTCCATATACCAACTCGTCTTCTGCCCATTCTCAAGATGCCTGCTAAACCCCCTCCCAGGTTTCCCCAAACAGTTGTTTGAAGACAAACACACAGTATGGGTTGGTAAACAATTTCACTCTCCTTCCAGGAGATGGTCTATTAAGAAAGAGAAGGTCCCTAAGGATGAGTAATGGCTGCCTTACTGAAGCAGCTCTGAGGCTGCCTTTCATAGACCATCTTGGATGGCTGTCGCCAGTTTCAGCTTTTTTGTCTTTGCCATGAACTATGAATCTGTCGCAAAGCCACCTGTGGCAGGGGATACACTTTAGGAGCCCAGCACATCACCTTTGACCTTTGTAGAAATTGGAGAAAGTAAAGCCCTAATAAGGGGGCCTCTTATCTCCCTGACACAGCAATGGAGTTCCCTTCAATGTTCTTTAGTGCCTTGAGCAGTATAGTTTTAAATGGCGCAAGCGAAGGGCTTCCGTCAGTTCTCTTAGCAGATTGACTCAGTCTAATCTCCGTTTGGGATTATTTCTTGAAGCACAGCCCAAACATTCCTTTGTCTGACTTGATCCATCCTTACTCGTTCAATTGCCACTGGCCCCCTCTACACAGCCTAGTCCCTTCTTGGTGTTTACATGCGCCAAATACTTGTGAACTTTATCTCTCTCTCCTAATTAGGCTATCAACTCCCTATTAGGCTATCTTCCTATAGGTCTGCAAAGCACCGTGCACACCTGTGGAGATGTGTAAGTAATAATCCTCTCCCACATCCGTATCTGGGCTGTCACTAATTCCTGAGAATTTATTTCGACAACATTTCAGAATGTTATCCTTTATTCTCCCTCCCCACCTCTACCTGCGCAGGTAATATCTTACCTTGAGCTCTACAACCTCCTTCTCTGAAGTCTCCTTGTCTCTCGCCTTCTCTGTCCTCCAACTGTCCATGCAAAATGCTGCTGTAAATCAAGTAGTGTTTTGAAACTCATGTCCGTGGATGCTATGGGTGATGTGTGCATACTAGATACTTGAGACGGAGGTCAAGTAATTTGCACACTGTTCTGACTCCATTCATGCCCTCTCCAAATCTTTCCATTGGTGTCCTCTTGATAGCTGCATCGAACACACGCTTCTAGTCCTCGCCATCAGCACCCTGTGCAACTCGTCTCCTGTATCCATCTTTGCTCCTATGAATGACAATTGTGGTATCATCTAGAGACCCTAATCAGGGATCAGCATGTCATTATGCTGGGTGCTGTACAAAACCATCATGAAAAATGGTCCCAGCCCTATTGAACTTAAAATCTAAGCTCTCTTGGGTAAATTTTCTTATGCTTTTGCATATCCTTCTTGGCTATCATTGCCCAGCTAAATGTTCATGTCTTTTGTTTTCTTCCACTTTGTTCTGGCCTCTTTAAATTAAATACTTCAGCCACCTTTGGAATACTCCCCAAACAGACCACAAACTAGGAAGGGTAAGACTAGTTACCAGTGGTTCAATGTCATACTGGGTGGACATACCTCCTGGGTTCCACAGGAGTCTGTCTTGGATCCAGTACTATGTGCTATTTTCACTAATGAATGAGATAATAGAGTTGAGAGGATGCTTATCAAATTTGCACATGACACCAACCTGGGAGGGTTCTCTAAAACGTGGAGGACAGGATTAGCATTTAAAATGACCTTGGCACACTGGAGAATTGGTCTGAAACCAACAAGATGAAATTCAATAAAGACCATTGCAAAGTACTACACTTAGGAAGGAAAAATCACGTATAGAATGAGGTGTAACTGGGTAGGCTGTAGTACTACAGAAAAGGATCACAAATATATAATGTATACAGAAGACTGTCATCAGCTGTTCTCTATATCTACTGAAGGTAGGACAAAAATAATTGGCTTAGTCTGCAGCAAGGGAGATTAAGGTTAGATCCCAGGGGGTTGTGGAATCCCCATCATTGAAGGTTTTTAACAACAGGCTGGACAAACACCTGTTAGGGACAGTCTAGGTTTACTTGGTCCTGCTTCAGTTTCTGGCTAGACAACCTGACCTCTCTTGAGTTCCCTTCCAGCCCTGCATTTCTGTGAGTCTGAGATTCTGGGCAGAGATGTTTTTGTTGGGGCTGGGCTAGTTTCGTTAACTTGCCTGACTTCTACTGACAAATGGTTTATTGCTGCTGTTATTACTGCAGTAGTGTCTGTGGGCAGCGGGAGAGTGAGATGTGGTCTGAGTGTGCTGATAAATATTGTATCTGATCAAGATTTATTCTTTGAGTGCTGTCTTGTTTCTGCTGAGTCAGAAATTCCATTTGTATTTTCTTCCTCCTCTTTTTGGGGGAAGCATCTGGGCCATGGTGATTCCATGGGGGAATGACACTTTGTCCTCCACACCCCCTCCCCCCGTCCCTATTGCTATAACAGGTATCGGGACTGGGAACAGCTGTGTCATAAGTTGCATGCTATTTTCTCCCATGTAAGTATGTGGCATTTGGTATGAAGGGAAAGGCGCCAGCTGTATTTTTCTCAAGCCATTGTATTCCCATGTCTGTTCTTTGAGTGAGAAACCTTCGTTTCACGTCAGCTCAGCCTGCTCCTGCTAGTTTGTTGTTCTGTGTGTTTGCTATGTAGGCATGTATACGCATACACACACTCTCACTGTGTGCCTGTGAGTGAAAGAACACAATGTGGGCGGGGGGGGGTGTTGTGGTTTTATCACCGTGAGTTTGGGATGACTGCAGTACTCATGGCTGGCGAGGCTCTGAGTGAGGTATGCAGGATTTGCCAAATGATGCCCGATCAAGCCATTGTGCCCAATACCATCACCTGTGTTGTAGGTGTGTGCCTCACATGTTACACAAGAATATATTCTAGCAGTGTTTTAGAAAGATTTGCCTTTTCAGAACAGGTTCATTTTTTATATCCTTCTGTAAAACCAGTGTGCCTCGGTTATGTCATGTCTCACTGGGCAGGGTTCAGAGGGAGCTACTAAACCCTGTGAAATAGTCTAAAAGACCTTTGCTGTGCCTGAAAATGTTCCTGTTTTAAAGTCTGATACCGAAGGATCTTGCAGGCCTAGAAATGGGGCTCTGTCTCCCCTTCTCACCGGTACAAAGGTCCCACTTCTGGCCCTGCGGGGCTGTGAGGTGAAATCAACGAATCCTAGAAATGTAAGACTGGAAGGGACCTCAATAGGCTGTCTAGTCCAGCCCCCTTCACTGAGGCAAGTTTGAATGCGACACATTTTTATGGACAGAAGATTTGGTGCAAGACTGAATTTTGCCCAGCCTGGCTGGGGGCAGGGTAATTTTTTTTGGAAAAGTCCAAGTTTGGGGGGGAAAGAAGCAACATTTCTCTGGCAGGCTGATTAAAAGGAAACGGTGGGTGTTCGAAGGTGCTGAGAGATTGGAAGCGTTAGAACAAGTCCCAGGGGGTGGATAGTCTCCTGAGGGTGGGCAGGCAAATGATACACGACAAATGTATTTATTGCATAGCTCTGCACCCAATCACATGGTTTTCCCTCCATATACTGCGCTTTGCTTGTATTTAAATGGACCCACTACAAAGCTAGCTGTCACCTGTAGGTGTTAGCCATGCAAGTAAACACAACACCGTGTGGTGCCCAATGTGGCAGTTCATGTCTAGAAATCACACACAACTCCAGGAATTGTAGTTTGATCTGCCTTAAGCCCATGGCTAAGAGAGAAGAAAAGGCTGGGTTACAAAACGAATATAGGCATGATGAGATTGCGACGATAATTGAACATGGCAAAAATGTTCTCTTCAAGCCTTTGACGCTCTTAGTGCTCTGTACTTATCAAAAGTAGCTACGTAAAGTACAGCGGCAGAAGTGCCGTCTCTAACGGGGCGAACTGCGGGATGCTCTGCTGAATGCTAATAGGTTCCTAGTACAAACACTGGACTGGTGACATGAGTATATGGTTACAAGCTGCACTTACTTCTCATCTCGCACCTTCCCCGGTAGACTCTTAAAAAACACGGGAACAAGCTGTCTAGGAAAAAGTGGAAATGTTATCGTGTGTTTTGTACACTAGCACTGATTTCATTGGCCACCTCTTATCATTGTTTTGCCGTGCTCCTAGTCAAGGGATTACATGACACTTGTTGGAAAAAACTGTTCAAATGTTCCTTTGTTCGTAGGTTTAAAATGTGCATTAAGAAAAGCCTTTGCTGGTCATGTCGTGACAGCATTTTTTTCTCCTTCAATTTGAGAAGTTTGTATTGATTTCTGAATCCAGCATGAATGTTGTCTTTAGTCCTTGACTGTTATATACATGGTCTGTAGTCAGTTCTATTATAAAACAAGTTTGCAAGGTCAAACATACTTCAACGGAAAACCGTGTGACCAGAGGTTCATCTCATGAAAATATTAGTAGCAGCACTGTATATTTTCTTCATTTTTGCAACTACTTTTCCTGTAAATACTAACCAGGGATCCTTCTCTTCCCCCCCCCCCTCTTTCCCATTGAAGTTCCGCCCAATCTGACTGTTCCACAAGAAAAATCACCTTTAGTCACCCGGGAAGGAGACATTATAGAACTACAATGCCAGGTGACCGGAAAGCCCAAACCTATAATTCTTTGGTCCAGAGCTGATAAGGAGATTGCAATGCCGGATGGATCCATGCAGATGGAGAGCTATGATGGAATACTGAGGATAGTGAATGTGTCTAGGGAGATGACAGGAACGTACAGATGTCAGACCAGTCAGTACAATGGATTTAATGTGAAACCCAGAGAAGCACTGGTGCAACTCATTGTGCAGTGTAAGTAAATTCTTATTTCCTTCTGATGCATTTTTTGGGGGGGGAAATGACTTGATTGTTTCCTGGTAAACTCATAGGACTAGGAGTCTGTTGATTATTCCATGCATCAGTGTCCTGCTCTTCTGGTTCTGTGGTTCTCAAAATTCATGATTAGACTATGCAGATACCATATCAGTAAAAATGACACAAGCTACTCATTGATTTAAAAAGTATACGATGATACTGTTGTCAATTGTTAATGAACCTGTGTTATTCTGTGGATGTCTAACATTACTCTTTTTTTAAGTGTAGGAACAAATATCTCATATAGAAGAGTGTGTTTCTATAAATATTGGCCTCCATACTGATTTCACTTATGGACATTATGTGAGATAAGGAAAAAAGTTCATGGGTCTTGGTCTATGTGGAACTGTTAACACACTTTGCACAGGGAACGTTTTAGATTCTCAATCTGTGAATTATAAACAGTGTTGCCATAAAATTCAGTCACATTTAGGAGAAAATATGGGGAAATAAATTACTTTGCAAACACTGTGCTTTTGTGATCAGAAAATGAGATGTCTGACTTGAGGTGGGGACACTAATTCATTGTCATGTCTGTGTAAGTGACAGATAAAATGTTCCCTAGGTGATTTTCAAGTCTAAAAATCAAATCAAGTTAAAAATGCTGGTTCTTATTTTTGCTGTTAAATAAAGTGACTTATGCACCTCTCAGTTATTCCTGACTTAGATGAACCAAGCAGCTCTTTAGGTCAGGGGCTGTCTCTAACCATGTGTATGTTCACTGCTTGGCCAATGAGTCGCTGATCTCAGTTGGGGCCTCAAGGTAATGCTGCTATTCTAAAAAAAATATGGATATATACCTACCTCATAGAACTGGAAGGGACCCTGTCATTGAGTCCAGCCCCCTGCCTTCACTAGCAGTACCAATTTTGCCCCAGATCCCTAAGTGGCCCCTTAAGGATTGAACTCACAAGCCTGGGTTTAGCAGGCCAATGCTCAAACCACTGAGCTATCCCTCCTCCCAATTAATAACATAGTCAGTTATTTTAATATGGCATTTTTATTTTTGATGGTCTCTTGCTGAAGAAAGCATTTGTGATTAACAGAGCTGCTCTTTTAAACTTAGCTCAGATATGCAGAGGTGCACTGGCACATCCCTTAGATATGTAAGCTCATGACAAATAGCCACGTGGATTTTTGTTGCTAAAGATTCTGCCCCAAGGCTCTGTAGCTGAATGTATTGCCTCCTGCTTCCACTTTCTCCTCTCCGCTCTTCCAATGAAATAGTGGCCCTCCATGGGCTAGATGCTTATGCAAGCCACAATAGGTTTAGATCACCCCCACAGGAGACTGGCTAGTCCCTCCTTAATAAAGACCCCAAATGGCTAATTCCTCCTCATATGTTAAGACTTCAGTGCCACGGAAGAGGTTAGCTTTTAGAGGAAGAAAAGCTACATTAGCTTCCTGTGTACTTTTTGCTGAGCACAAGAGGAGTCATGTCCGGCTGCAGACATGCTCAGGAAAACTCTTGGGAGTGTGAGATTGAATGTAAGGTGGCGGGGACCTGGGGGGGGGGAAGCGGTCTCCAGATCCCTAGATGGGGAAGTGAACGCAAAGATTGTGTTCTGGTGGGCCGGGCACTGGCTGAGGAGCATGGGCCCCGGGGGTTGCTTAACTAGAGAGAGCTTAACTAGAAATATCCCTAATGAAAATCTGTTTTTCGGCTTTTTGAAGCTGCTAAGATGTCCATATTTCTGCCTTCTCCAATCTATTCCCCTTGGTAATGGTAAATCTGGGATTCGTGTGCCTTGTCCTCCGCCCTGGAATTCCCCGTGATGACACAACCTTGGAGAGCCTTGTTTAATTCATTTAGAAACCGGAAACATGATTTTCAGCCTTATTTGGGCACTGGCTTGTTTGTGGGGTCCTTGGAGGAGGATAGGTTTATTGGGGAATGTTGGAAGAGCACTCTGGACAGTCTATGCCTGTCAGCATGCTGCCGACGGCAGAGAGGAGCAAAGTCAAACCTGAGGTTGCAAGTAATGGAGGAGTTCGTAGGCAGCTTCCAGCCGGAGGTGCACACCAAGTGTCAGAGTCCGAGTCAGGTTTCAGGGTCCAGGCCAGGAGGTGAGGTCCGAATCAAGCTGAGGTCGTTCAAGAGCCTCTATTGTCGTGGCAGCTACAGGAGATCTGTGCTGTTGTCTGGGCACTTCCTGGAATGCCCCTTGGGTTCATCTAGGGTGGGAGCCATGCAGGAGCTATGAGGCTGCTGCCTGTCAGACTTCTTTGAGGTGGGACTTCCTGCAATCTCTGTCCACAGCGGGTCATTGACAGGGGTTACAGCTGCTGACGGCTGGCAGCCTGGAAGTGTTTGCTCTCTGCCAACTCTTCAGGCCCGACTTTGAGACCCACTGGTCTTACAGTGCCTCCCTAACCCTGCTGAGTGTGTGTGCTCAGTTGTTTGATCCGTGTTTTGTGTCCCATCTTGCATATGTAAGGGCCTGATCCAAAGCCCACTGAAGTCAATGTAAAGGTTCTCATTGATTCCAGTGGGCTTCGGCTCACCCACTTGGGCCGCAGTTCAGCAAAACGTTTAAGCACATGATCAGCGTTAGCATCAATGGGAGCTAAGCACATGTTGTGCTGAATAGGGATGGACTGCGAAATCTGGGCCTTGCTTCCCACAATTCTATAGACTTCTCAGCAACTACCCCTCTCAGGCCCCAGTCCGTTCCCTATTAAACTCAGGGGAAATACTCCACTTGACTTCAATGGATGTTGTTGGTGCAAGCTCTCAGATAGCCAAGAGATAAGTAACAAAGTCTCTCTCCCATGCCTCTCAAACTACAAATTACTCATACTTTTGTTATAATGTTAGAGGGGAAAGCTCTGGTTTATATTAGATATTTAAAAACAAAAGACCACTATAACTTATGCACCAGCTGATGTGTTTTGAAAGTGCTGGGAGAAACAAGAAGAACATGGTTATGAGAGACCAGGAGTATATCAAAAGTCTTTGGGTGAGGTTTTTTTTTTTGATGTCTTTGTTTAGATTCCTATTCATTTTATTCTGATATTTGCAAGCGAGAATTTGAATAGAAATGGGGAAAGCATGGATTTCATAATGATCTTCTAGGTATTGGAGAAGAAAAGTGTGTGTGTATGTTAACGTTAACTACAGTGTTCTTTTTATAATGGTAATAGTATTAAATTTATCTGAGATAATGAAACTTCAGTGCTTTTAAATCAGTAATTCTGTACGATCTATTCTTGGATGAGTCTGTGTTCTAAATAGAAAGTGATATTTTGGTGAAACTCTGTGAATTATGTAATAACTCATTAATTTTGCTTTTTCTGCAGTGTGTGGGTGTGTGAGGAGAGAGGTGTGAGGAAGTGTAATGTATCTAGTTGCATACAATCCAGTTCTTTAGGGCATAAAAACAAACTGTGTGTGGGACCAAATCACCTCTCTGGCCAAGCTGAATGAAACTTAGTTACGTCCCATCCTGGGATACAACCGATTCCATATAACTGAACGTTCTAGTCCAATTCCTCAGTTCATACCCAAGCAAAATTCCCCTTGACAGTGGTTTTTAGGTCAACTGCATCAGATGTGTAAAGGAATAGGCGTTTTTCATGTGGCCACTGTGAATACTGAACCCCCCCGACTACTATTGTATGCAAACGCACCCATCCTTACTGTTCCCTTGCCACCTGCCCACCCTATGTATGTGTGTTTATTCCCATAGTGTGTATTGTCGAGCTCCTAGATTGTGAGTTTCCTAGGCCAGGGACTGTCGTTGTGATACAGGTTTATACTGTGGGCACTAAGTCATCATTCGGGCCTTGTAAGCCTCTTCAGCATCATGACATTCTGGTAGGAGATGTGCTGTGTAGTGCAAAGGAATCATGGCAGTAAGAGATGGAAAAGACCAGATAGGTTATCTAGTCCACCTTCCTGCTAGTGCGGAATTGGTCAGCATGCTTTCTAGTGCGGTTTCAAAAGCCCCCAGTCAATATCCCAACCACCTTCTCGAGAGACCACTCTATACTCAAATACAGGAAAATCTACACTCCTTCCACACTCATGACCTGGGAGGATGATCCAGTGGTTAGGTCATTAGCCAGAGTCCTGGGTTCACTTCCCTGCTCCGCCAAAAATTCCTGAGTGACCTTGGGCATGTCAATTAGTGTCTCTCTGCCTCG